CAGAGGGACATTCTAATTTTTCTCTGAACTAATTTACAAAAGAATATATTTTTTTAATTGTTGAGTTGGAACCAATTCATAGCTGAGCCTCTAGAGGTTTTCCAAGGCTGTAAATTGCACAAGGCCTGCCCATCTTTCTCATGCAGAGCAGCTAGTGGATTCAAATCACCTGTCTTTGGGTTGGTGGTTACCCACTAATCCACCATTACTACTGTTGTTAGGTGTGAGTGAGCTGAGGCATGACTCATAGCGACCCTATGAACAATACCTCTGAATCCTGTCCTATCCTATGGCATCCTCAACCATCTTTTGATACATTTGAGCCCCTTCCTGCAGTCACCATGTCAATCCATCTTGACGTAGGTTTTGTTGATGCTCCACCTTTCCAAGCATGATATCCCTTTCTCCTAGGTAGCATGTCCAAAGTATGAGAGATAAACCGTCACCAATCCTTGCCTCCAAGGAGCACACTGGCTGTACCTTTTCCACGAAATATCTTGTTTGTTCTTTTGGCAGTCTATGGGATATTTTACTGAATACTCTTCTCCAACACCACAGTTCAAAGGTATCAATTTTCCTTCTGTCATCCTTATTCACTGCCCATTTCTCAAATACATAGTAAGTGCTTGACGCCTGTGGCCCGAATCAAGCACACCTTAGTCTTCAAACTGACATCACTGCTTGTCAGTATTTTGGAGAGATCCTTGATTGTGGACTTAACCAAAGAAATATGTCTCCTAATCTCCTGACTATTGGTGCCAAAGAACTGTAAGATGATATCGCTGACAACTTACATCCTTTCTCCATCATCTATCATGATGTTGCCTACTGGACGTAAGGAAAGGACAAGCTATCGCAGTTCCTCTAAATTAGTTACTGGGCCTTACTAAACGGTTACACCAGAAAAAGGGAAAAGCCAGAATATATAGAAATAGTAAGTTATTAGTAGACAGATGGTGGCTAAAATACATAGATATGGTGTGTGTTTCAAGGAAAAATTAAAAGGGACAGACTTGCAAGTAAATACACAAAAGGAGAAGGGTTTTGAGAAATGAGCTACTGGAAGTAGCAAATATTTCAGAAATAAAAAGTAATGAGATAGGAATATTGAGCTAGCCTACGGAGAAGGAGTATGGACCTTTGGACAGTCCTATGAGTGTGTGTTGTCACCAAAATGTTGGGTATAAAAACTGAGATAGTAGAAGCAGCAGAGATATGCTAATGAAGGGGAAAAGGGAATTCTTATAGTTAGTGGGAATCTTCCATGTTACAGGATGTTGTTGTTGTTATGTGCCGTCGAGTCACCTGCGACTCATAGCGACCCTATGTACAACAGCCCTAAACTCCGCTCTGTAATCCACCCAAGCGAAAGTATTTAAGTGTGTGTAGTGAGTCTAGTAAGAGGCTCTGGTGGCCTATTGGCAAGAAGCTGTGCTGCAACCCTGAAGGCACATGGTTCAAGGCCACCACTGCTCCATGGGAGAAGGATGGGCAATCTCCTCTGCCTTCTGATTAGCTTCCTCTGAAAACCTGCTGGAGGGTCAACTATGGGTTGATTCTGACTCTAAGTTATATAACTACAATACTGAGTCTAGCAGGCTATCTGCTTCATGCATATTTAAAAAAGATTATTAAAAAAAAGATTATAAATGTACAGTTCTCTTTCTAATTTATAATTACATTTTGATATGACTGCAGCTATTATACTTATTTAGTATTATAACTTAAACACTTGCAAAATAATGACATTTCTTTAACAGCAGAGATGATAATAATGGTGTTCAGCTCAAATACGATGGCTGACATGCTACTTTGTGTCCTGTTCATCCTAGTTCTGGCAGTATTCTAGTCTGCACCAGGCTCCTGAAAGGGCTCACTGTGCCTCTTCAGAGTCTCTAAGTCCAGGGCTGTAGTTAGAAACTGCCCCCATTCTGATAATCAATTGTGGCAAAGCCATATTTTAAAAATTCAGGTGCGTTTCAATTTTTACCATATTGGTCATCAGTGAGTTGCTTTGAATCATAAAAGCCCTTCCATTTGTTTCCAACTCTTTTCCAAGAGCTCAGGAAAAAAACCTACCACATCTCAAGGCCAACATGTAATTTACTAGCCCACTGTGCTATCTAAAAAGATTTTAGGAATAAAGAGCTAAAAACCTCAAAATTGTTTTGAGCTTAAACATACAACTGTATTAAAAAAACCACAAACATTTCAACAGTACTAGTGACAGTTGCACTGAGGAAATGTGCTGTCAAGGACCCCTCCAACCTGCTAAATAAGAAGGATGTCATTTTAAGACAATGGCATACCTGACTAAAACCACAGACTTGCCAATTATTTGTTATATGTCTGAAAGCTGTAAAATGGCTAAGGGTGAAAGCAAAAAAAAAAAATCAATGCCTTTGAGCTGTGGTATTGGAGAAGAGTACTCAATATCCCACGGACTTCCACAAGAGCAGGTGCTCCTTAGAGGTGAGGATGGCAAAGCTTCACCTTACATACTGTAGGCATGTTGTCAGGAGGCACCAGTCTTTGGAAAGAGACATCATGCTTGGAAAGATGGAGGGTCAGTGAGACTAAGAACCTCAACAAGGTGGACTGACACAGCCACTGACACAATGGGCTCAAGGAGATCAGAGATGACGGCTGGCACAGAATAGTTCAAGGTTCAGAGTCACTGTTCTTTGGGTTGCTATGTGTTCCAGTTGACTCGATGGCACCTAACAACAGTTATAGTAGATCAGTGGTGTCCTAGTGAGCAAGCTGCCAATGTAAAGGCAGGTGATTCAAATCCACAAGTTCCTCCTCAAGGGAAGGATGGGCACCCTGCCTCTCGTGTGGTTTACAGTTTCAGAAAATCTGCTGGAAGCTCAGCTATGAGCCAGCTCTGGTGTCCTTGTGGCAAGAAGCTGTGCTGCAACCCCAAAGTCACGTGGTTTGACGCCACTAGCTGCTCTACAGGAGAAAGATGGGCAGTCTCCTCCCGTGCAATTAACTGCCTCTGAAAACCCGCCAAAGGGTCAGCTATGGGTCAGTTCTGACTCTACAGTACTCAGCAACAGTCACAGAGAGGTATCAGAATTATCTGAAATCAGACCCTCAGAATAACCCTTCAAGTGGGTTATATACTGTTGAGTCGGAACCAATCCATAGCTGACTATCTAGTGGGTGTTCAGAGGCAGTAAACTGTATGGGAGGAGGATGCCCATCTTTCTTTGAACCAAATGACTTCAGGTTAGCAGTGCAGTTCCATACCACTAGGCCACAAGATCTCCATAGTGATGGTGACATCCAATTTCACAAAGGAAACATTGAAGATGTAGCTAAGTTTACTATGTTCTCCCAAAGAATAGCTAAGAGGGAGTTTAAACTTAAAAGTCAGATATTCTAAATTCAATCTGTTTCTTCCACTTTGTGTTTGAGTACCACAGAGTTGGAACCAACCCACAGCTGACCCTCTAGCAGCTTTTCAGAAGCAATAAATCACATGGGAGGAGATTGCCCATTCTTCTGTGGAGCAACTGGTGGATTAGAACAGCATGCATTCAAGATGGCAGTGCTGTTTCTTCCACTTTGTTGTTGTTGTTGTTAATTGCCTTCGAGTTGAGCATGACTCATAGTGACCCTACGTAAAAAAGGCCTGAAGCCCCTCTACAACTATTGACTTTTTTAATTTTTATTATTTTGTTTGTGTGTGTGTGTGTACCGTCAAATCGGATCTGACTGGTATAGGAGGAGATGGCCCCTTCTTCTCCGGCACAGCATCTGGTGGATTTGAACTGCGTATCTCTGGGATTGCAGTGCAGCTTCTTGCCACTAAGCCACCAGAGCTCCCCTAACTATTGACTTTTTATCAAAGTTCATAGAGTTTCCAGAGACAAGATGTTTAGGAAGTGGATGCCACCCCTCTTCCACTTTATCAGTGCTTAAATCTCAAAATGGACAGCAGAGGAATATTTTCACCAATTCCAAACATTTTATGCTTGTATAATTCTGTTTTCATTTTCTTCTATATGTCTTGGGAGTTATTAGCATATTTAATACGGTTTTTTTTATGACAAACAAGCACTTACAGTTAGGTATTTTTACTTTTAAAATTTTATTTACCACATTTTATAGATGGCTTTGTAGGCTTTTTATTCATAAAGACTAACAACATCTATTTTGAGAATTATGTAAGTAACAAGGTATGAATACAATTATTTTCTTTTCAAAGACTTGCTATTTAGGTGTTAAATTATAATTTTGAGTTAGAAAGATTATTAATTTATTAAATTCCAATATCATGAAGTATAGAAACTCAAAATGGCCATCTATATTTATTTTTATGGCAAATAAATTTAACATTATTAAACAACCTTTACTTTTTTAATTTTTTTAAAAATTTATTATTAATTTCAATGAAAATTTACAGAGACTTTGGATTTCCAGCAACATTTACTTTTAATACTTTTAATATTTATGCATGGAATTCATCATCTTCTCACATGCTATTCAAAAAAAGAAATTATTTATTTATTTTATTATTTGTGTGTGTGTGTGTGTGTGTGTGTGTGTGTGTGTGTGTATACCATCAAATCAGATCTGACTGGTACTGGAGGAGATTGTCCCTCCATTTCCAGCAGAGCATCTAGTGAATTCAAACTGCTCACCTCTGGAATTGCAGTGCAGCTTCTTGCCACTAGGCCACCAGAGCTCGCCAAGAACTCATTTGTTAAATAATTTACTTTTTAAGCATATGAAGACATATTCAGGGATGTGCATCAAATATCTTCTAGAAAAAGTGCAAGGGGAAAAAAAACCCCTATCCTCAAAGATGAACTGATAATCCCAGTAGCCATCTTGCCAATGTATCTTAGTAGGTAAGAATTTTTCAAACTTACTAGAACAAAGCCTAAAGGGAGAAAAATTCAATACAAAGATCACATATAAAGGGAACTACCCAGCACCATTTGAAGGGGTATGAAGCTACAGCAGTGGAGTGTTGGCAGTGCGTGTACCTGTTCTTCATCAGACGGACTTCTCTCTTTCGTGCCGCTTCTTCAGCAGGCTGTGTAGGAAGTGCTGGGGAGGACGCCATAACAACTCCGGGGGCGATGGTGCTAGTGGGTGCTGTGCGGATCTGATATGTTTGTACATCTCCAGAGGCAGCTGGGAACCAGAAAAAAAGAAGAAGAAGAAAAAAAATGTGAGCACCGAGTAAGGCAATGAAGCACTATGACTGGGGTTAAGCTACTTATTTGTTTTCCACCTAAATACTCAATTCAAAGGCGGGGAAAGGAACAAACAGATTATTTGGGCTAAAATACTGAAACAATCAGCACTCTTTGGGTCGTTACGGAGAAATAATTCTCCCTTTAATATATTTATTAGTATAGACACTTGAATGAATGAGGTCTTAACCTAAATCTACTAGGTCTTCTATGTGTTCATTGGAAGTAGTTCCATTCTGTTGATAACATGCTTACCAACCTTAAGTCTAAAAGGTAAGTAGGACACAGCTTGGATGATCTTCCTTCCTAGACAGAGTATAGTCCTCAATGTCTTCCTTTGATATTGGTAAATTCATACTAAAAAATTTCAAGTAGACTCTTGCCACAACATAAAAACGACCATGATATTTCATAAAATAGCAAAATGAAAAAGAAAATAAAGCATTATGGTCACTATTACAAATTTCTGACTGAAACAAACTGAAAGTATAAAAAAGGTGGTTATCACTCAATGCCAATTATAGTATTTGTAAACATATTAGTTTCAATGTAAATGATAGTGACTAAATAAACTGATGTTTTATTTTTCTAAATGGAATGATTCAACATTTCAGAAAAGAAACCCCACCACTGCTTGTCAAATTGTTTCTAAAAACATCTTCCCCTCTTTATATAAGAAACCTAACATTTCTGAGAATTTCACTGTCTTTATAGAATTATCCTTATCTGGATATCCAAATTATTTACTACTTAATAACAACTGAAATGTGGAATTTGAATGGAAAGTTATTATATACTAAACATGTTACCATCTTCAAACTGACGTTCAGAATTCAAATTCAATCACATCCTGCTTTACAATTTTTGAGTACCTGCATGTAAAGTGAAAAGGTTTTTACTCCCATTAATAAGCAAAATACATTGTTCTTCAAAATATTTATTAATAGAATATATTCTGTAAATATTTTAGAGCCCCTTAAATAAATTATGACTCCTACTAGTAGCTGTTTTAAGAAAAGTTGTTATCTGCAGTTAAAGGATATAATTGTCCATTATTTAACATAAGTAAAATGTTGAATTCCCTCAATTTGAAAATTCATTTTGGTATAAATAAAATACTTGAAATATTCATATAGAGTAAAACAAATATGTTCAACTCCTATTATAGATCCCCGGAATTTGTTGACGTGGGGAACCCCTAAATCTATCTCTGTAGCTCATCAGAGATTTCACTGCTTTTTTTTGCCTAGAGAATAAATCATGTGTGACCAAACTTACATAGTTGTACAATAAGATTTTCCAGAATATTTTTTCATGTGGAAAGGAAATAGATCATTTCAGAAAAATGTACATTTCTTTTGAATAAAAAGCAGAGAGAAAATATTTTAAAGGTTCAAAATTCTATCAGCAATTTGAGACATGGGGGAGGGGAGTAAATGACACACAACACCTAAACCAAGACCCAGAGGTTCAGGTCTTGTTCAAGGTCACAGACTAGCTCACTAGTTATTATTTACACTCTAGCTTTTCTGACTCCTCCTGCCTATCCATGAATACTAAGAGGATTTACTAAAGATAGATGTTTTAATAAAATTGAAAATAGTTGTTTTTATGCCATGACATTTAGGTCCAACTGGAATAACTGAAAAAAAATCTTGGAAAAAAATACTATAATGAAAAATTAAGTTTTAACAGGGCTTTGCAATATGATACTTACTTTTTCTGAGAGTTTATAAAATTGTAATCTTTTGAAATATTTACCTCACCTGTGAATTGTGAAGTCTCTTACCTTGGACAACAACTTGGTTGCTGGGCACTAAGATCTGCTGTCCATCAGTGGTTTGGGCATACTGGAGGATGGTAGTACCCGGCTGAGTGGCAGCTGCATTGGTCATCGTTAATGTCTGCAAGCCCTGTACCCCATCGGTACCATTGTTAGCCAGCTGTATTGCTCCTCCCTGGGTAATGGCAACTAAAAATCCAATGGATTTCATTGTTACAAGTTTAATATGAGTCATTTACAATATGCTAACTTCAACAAGAAAAAAATATTGTGTGAAAGACACAATTAGGAGAAATTATCATAACAAATACCCTTACTAACAAAGACTTAATGTAGTCAAGTTACTTCAGTTCAGGAAATCCACATCCAACTGCTATAATAGAAATGCAATCTATGGACCACACTCTAATTTGTAAAAAGAAAGCTTGGGATCTTTTTACTTTTTTAAAAACAGGTAAGTAGGAAATGTTAAAATCCTTTTCAAGTTATTTGACTCACAGGAAGTATTGCTCTATTATAAATATTGTAAATGTTTTTTTCTACACTTTGACAAACTGAAGGCTTACAGCAAAATAGTCAAATTCTTGTTCTAATGTTATAAACTAGTTCAGCAGTACAGTGTGTTCCCTAGACCACCTAGCAAGCTATGAATATATAACAAGAGTCCACTGAAACAAATGAAATGGTCAGCAAACTTTTGTCATTCATCTGTTATCATGATAGAGAAAGGATTGGGATTGTCAAGGATTTAATCTTGCTTGGATCCACATCAAGATGGTACCAACATTAAGAAATTAACATGTGGTATGGTCCTCCTGTGCAATTTAAAGCCTCTGCAAAACTCCTGGAAGGTCAGCTATGAGTTGGTTCCGACTGGATGGCAATGGTTAGTATAGACAAAAAACTAAAGCTCAATCGCTTTCAACAAAACCAAATCCATTAAAATGAGAAAAGGTAGGAGTACTTTATCTGTCTCTGTATATAGCAATTATATAAGAAAATCTAAACTAAGAAAACCAAGAAATAAAAAACAATTAAGCACAAATTTAACTGAGATTTTGGATAACCAAAATAAAGAACATCATTGGTTACTGTTCTACTTAGTGAAACAAATCAAAACAGAATTAAAGTTCACAATAACAGATAAACATTTGTCGACCTAAGAGTAGCAAGATATCATCATCATCATCATCATGGATATAAATCAGGTAATGGATACAATTAACATTAATCAAAATATATTAAATTTATGGAAAAAGGTGTCCTAAATGAGACATTTAATTACACAGTGAAACACAATGCAGCCATTAAAGAAATAATATACATCACCATCAAGGTCATTTGTGTAAATGGAGAGGTATAAAGGAAGAAGTTCTTAAAGAATCTCAATTTATTAATCTCTTAAAATGAAAATCTTTTTTCTGTTGTTGGAAAGGGGTGCCTATCAAATTGAAACACCAGGGAAGGGTGACATTTTTTCCCCAATTTCACATTTCTAATTGAGATTTGGATATGCCTTCTTTCTAAAGAAGATATGTTTTGTTCATAGGGAAATATAATGCAATTATGAATCATTACTACTGTCAGGACATGCTTAACTCTCAGGTGTGCTAAAGAAGGGGGGGAAAACCCCTTACTATCTTAGAACACACACTGTGAGTACTGTGATTACTACAATTGTGTGGATATAGCAAGTGTTCTTAATAAATTAAAAATACAAAGACACATACAAAAACATAGAACTCTCTATCTCAAACAACAAAGACCAGAGAATGATCATTGAGTTCTTCTGAACTTAGTGGACGACAAAAAGCAGTTAAAATGATGACTATCAAATTTCAACTTGGGGGAGGTGCAGAGACTGCAACTCAGGAATCTGTAATAGAGTAGAAGGAAAATTAGGTATACAAATCAAGGCTGAACTGCAACTTGAAAAATGAGCTAAGTAAGGAGGTCAAACTTTTATTATTTTTGATACAAATTACCTCAGGGCATTAGAAGTCCAATGCAGTCAAGGAATTTTAGTGAATACATTTCACTTGTAACTAGTAAGAAAGGGAGGGGAAGGAAACTATGAAATGAGTGTTTGGCGGGGGGAATCAAAAGGTATAGGGAAAAGAAGAAAAATGTACCGTTCAAATAAATGTGTCTGGTCAAACAAAAATAGGGCTCAAAAGTTTAAGAGATTTAGTTAAAGGCAAAAAGAGATGAAAGAGGAAGGTAGAAAGACCTAGCTACCTGACAAAGCTAGCACAGAATTGGAAACCAACCATTTTGGTGAAGAAACCTTTGCTTCCTTCCTGTGAAATAAATGAGCAAAGGGTACTCACAATTTCACCAGTCTTGTTATGATCACACTACAACTGACGAAAGTGCTTTTTATGTTAAAGAGATTATTAAGTAAATGTGCTGGTAGGATGTAATCAAACCTATTCCCCTGAAATAAAATAGAAAGATTTAAAAATCCTACTTTAGAACAGTACATTGGAATGTGAGAGCCATGAATGAAGGAAAATTAGAAATTGTTAAGAAAGAAATGGAACGCATAAATATTGACATATTAGGCATTGGAGAGATGACATGGACTGGCATGGGAGATTTTGAGTCTGATGACCATATGATATATTACTCTAAAGATGAAAAGACAAGGAAAATGGGGTTGCCTTTATAGTAAAAAAAGTAATTTCTAGATCCATCTTGAAG